TTCAGTGTTCTTTGACCTTTTTGCCTTTCATGTAACATTGGATTGACATTCAGTGTTCTTTGACCTTGTTGCCTTTCATGTGACATTGGATTGACATTCAGTGTTCTTTGACCTAGTTGCCTTTCATGTAACATTGGATTGACATTCAGTGTTCTTTGACCTAGTTGCTTTTCATGTAATATTGGATTGACATTCAGTATTCTTTGACCTTCTTGCTTTTTATGTAACATTGGATTGACATTCAGTGTTCTTTGACCTTGTTGCCTTTCATGTAACATTGGATTGACATTCAGTGTTCTTTGACCTTGTTGCCTTTCATGTGACATTGGATTGACATTCAGTGTTCGTTGACCTTGTTGCCTTTCATCTGACATTGGATTGGCATTCAGTGTTCTTTGACCTTGTTGCCTTTCATGTAACATTGGATTGACATTCAGTGTTCTTTGACCTAGTTGCCTTTCATGTAACATTAGTTTGACATTCAGTGTTCTTTGACCTAGTTGCCTTTCAACTGACATTGAATTGACATTCAGTGTTCTTTGACCTTGTTGCCTTTCATTTCACATTGGATTGACATTCAGTGTTCTTTGACCTTGTTGCCTTTCATCTGACATTGGATTGACATTGAGTGTTATTTGACCTTGTTGCCTTTCATTTCACATTGGATTGACATTCAGTGTTCTTTGACCTTGTTGCCTTTCATTTCACATTGGATTGACATTCAGTGTTTTGACCTTGTTGCCTTTCATCTGACATTGGATTGACATTCAGTGTTATTTGACCTTGTTGCCTTTCATGTAACATTGGATTGACATTCAGTGTTCTTTGGCCTAGTTGCCTTTCATCTGACATTGAATTGACATTCAGTGTTCTTTGACCTTGTTGCCTTTCATCTGACATTGGATTGACATTCAGTGTTATTTGACCTTGTTGCCTTTCATTTCACATTGGATTGACATTCAGTGTTCTTTGACCTTGTTGCCTTTCATTTCACATTGGATTGACATTCAGTGTTCTTTGACCTTGTTGCCTTTCATTTCACATTGGATTGACATTCAGTGTTCTTTGACCTTGTTGCCTTTCATCTGACATTGAATTGACATTCAGTGTTCTTTGACCTTGTTGCCTTTCATCTGACATTGGATTGACAATGAGGGTTCCTTTGATTCCATTGACTGCCATAGTTGCTGACTACTGGCAAGACTAATTTGCATATTTGGTAACAAATAAATAGTTTTTGTTCAAAATGAATCACAAACAATTAATATTTCATATATTTACTTTTTCAATTATATGATAAATGTAATATCTTATGTACAACTTTATATACAATTCAGTTTGTACTATTTTCAGACCATAATTGTGCTCAATATAGGTTAGCATTTAAAATGTGTAATTGAGATGTATACTAGTGATTGTTGAAGCAGAGTGTTGTAAAGATTCTCAGATATTATCAACATAAATTAACTGGAATAATCATAAACCAAGGTCATATGAATCGTAATGGTATTGGGCTATTTAACAGGATTTGGTTGACTACAGTCAATGAACCATAACAGTTGATGACCAATAGCCGGTTTATTTACTGTAGTTTGTCAGACATGTTTTGGAAATAACAGGTCACTATGTTTATTGGGATATGTCTATTGTGACAGAGACTGGTCATTATGTCAGATACAATTACCTGTCCAACATATTGGTTCTCGAAGGTCAGTCATAAACTACTGAATATGCCACGTCAGTGTCAATGGAACCATCTACAACTCCTAAAATTCATTGTCATAACATTAACTTGAAAGGAAAGCGGCATCAGAATAAACAAGATTATTGATCAAATGCAAGTGTGACAAGTAACACAATTTTAGTTCCAAATACCTTGAACAATTCAGTGCAGC